AGAAAATCGAATTGAAAGAAAAAAAATAGCAAGATGCCAAAGTTGTACTACTACATGATTAATGCAAAACAAGGTCACAACACCAACTTTTCCATGATTAATTCAAAATCAAGATGATCACAACACCAGCTTTTCCAAGCCACTGTTGCACTTATCTGTCCATCAGGGACAGAAAGCATCACCCTCTCCACATCACCAGTGCACGAACCATGATCTTCCATAGATTGGCATATCAAAAGGCAAAAGCTAGAAGCCAGTAGTAGTGTACCACCACCACCGGTGTGTGTGGGTATCTTGTAGTACTTGGTGTGAGCGTGATATGATGCAGCATTGCAGCTTATCTAGCTCAGCGTAGCCTCCTAGAAAAGGAAACGGGAAAGCAGCCTCTCATCCAGATCGAAGCTCTCGCTATCAATCCTGGGTATCTTTGTGTACTACGCTAGCTGTGGCGTGTGTGTTCATGCATCATGTGATATAACAGTGTAGTACCATTTGTGGTCTACTCCTCCTTCTTACTCTTACTCCCTCTGTCCATATAAAATCAAACCCTCCTCTTTTTTACTCTTACTCCCTCTGTCCCTTATAAAATCAAATCCTAGCATCCCAATGTAACATTAGTGGAGAGTGAAAATGACCAAAATACCTCTTATTATTAAAAAAAATAGTAATGATGATATGTAGGTAAAGAATGTTGAAGGAATAAAACTTCTCATTTTACTTGCTGGGAGTAGGTAGAATGGTAGAAGTTGGTTTTTTTTTGGACAAAATTCAAACTCCAGAAGTTGAGTTTTTTTGGACGGAGAGAGTAAAATATAAGAGATTTTAAATATATGTAATATATCATAGTACTATGATCATGTGTTCAGATTCAAAGTATGTAATATATCATAGTACTATGATCATGTGTTCAGATTCAAAGTACTACAAGTACTGAATGTGTTGTATTCTTCAAAATCCCTTGTATTATGGGAGGGAGGGAATACAATGCATGCACACACATTGTAGTAGTACTGTATGCTAGAATTCTTGTGCATGCGTGCATGTGGTCGATCGAAATGTGTGTGATTCGTTGAGGACTTAGCGAGGGGGAGGATGCGATGGAGACAGTGCTTAGCTAGCTGCTAGCGGCTCATGTACTGCTGGTCCCTGCATTATCATCATCGTGAATTCGCTTGTGTTGCCATCGTACGTTTTCTCTCGGATCGGTCAAGCATGCACAGTTCAGTCACAGCGCCTTTCCAGTGGCGGGAGCTAGAAACACTTGGGGCTGTTTGGTTGTATATATGCTTTAGTTTACCAACTTTTAGAGCTAAGGTGCGGTGTGGTATGTCATAATTTGTTTGGCTGAAAAAAACTCTTAGCCACATATATAGTGGTAGATCAAAAAAGTTTTAGAGCATGGGGAAAAAATATTGTATCAAGTGTTTGCAATGAAAATTTTGCTTCTATAAATTGAAAATTAAAACATTTAAATTTCATTGTGCGGCCACCCGACCAGCCCGGTCATCGGGTGGTGGAGTGGATCCACCCCTGGCCACATGTTAAGCAAACCTGATTGCCAAAGGTTTGGTATGAACCAAACACCTGATAAAAGTTATTTATCGGTATTTTTAAAATGCTTTTTTGCTAAAGCATAGTTGTGCAAATTTTCAAAGTGTCATGTCCCTTCATTCGATCCAAAATCCCTCAAAACTCGAAAGTAAGATTAACATTAGGCATAGTTGGAAGATTTTTGAATTACCCTTACCTAACTCTTGTTTAATTTAAGACGGACTTCATTCCCCCAACACACGTTCTCTCACAATTAGAGAAGGACCCACAGGTGACGGTGTCTTTGTCTCGTTGGAATCCCTCTCCTCTTCGTCCCCGGTGGTTGCCGGTGAAAGGATTGGGGGGAGGGGGGGTCCGGGGGAGTGCTCAAGCTCGTCCCATAGTCGGGTAAATTATGTTACAGATCCTTTGTCCCCCTCCCCCACCTTTCTTGTAAAGATTAAAGGAGATGTCGACTTCTGTCTCCTTTGTCCTGGCGGTGTCATGCCATGGATGGATCTGCTAGACTTGGTCTCGGAAGATGCCGTCTAGCTAGCAACCGTCAGGCTTAGAACCGATGCTTTGGTTATCAACATCTGTAACATGTAGTCCTTCAAATCCACAAGCAATAAAAGGTTACGCCGGCCATTCTTCAATTTTCCAATGAGCAGACCTGCAAGGGTTGGCGCTCTTCCCTGTGGACTTTGGTGGTGGATCTCAAAGCGATGATTGTGGTTTTCTTGTTTGGCCATGAAAGCTTCAACCTCCATCATGGAGGCCTTGATTGGGTTTGCTTCTTGACTATGCCCTTTGCAGTCTGCCATGGTTTCATCACCATCACCGTAGACACTGGATGGAACAATGGAACATCAGCTCGGTGGAAGGAGTTGAAGGACCTGATCACATTTTACTTTTCTTTAGAGGACTTTTTTTACATGTTTCAAAATGTTCTATGAGGGGCCTTGTGTACTCCCAATTGTGTTTTAATAAACTACCCTGAGGTTGTTGCCTCAGTTTATTTTTTAAAAAATCAAGTTCCTATTTAATTAGTATTTAGGGCTTAGAACGTAGAAATTTTTAAGATTTTCATAGAACTAGTTTAATACATGCAAAAGAAAAATTCCAAAGAGGTCTTATAGTAGTTTTTAATTTTGAAGTGAAATGGTTCAATTCCAACATACAATAATTTAGATTTTAGAAGACTTCATGCATTCCAACCTTTATATTTTGCTAAAATCTCGTTTTCGAACCAATAATTGAGTGGATTTGGTCGAACCAATAATTAATTGTAAGACAGGTTTGTATTTTGCATGTGCCAAAATTTGAGGTTTAGTGAATCATGCCTGATGATGCTGCGGTAGACGCGTAGAGATATGAGTACTTTATGTACCACATGTGTATTATTTGGCATTGGAGTAAGATTTTTCACAGTTCATTTGAACATGTGTCGAAGGAGGAAACCTGACGAATATATATATATACATTGGTGTGTGGGACTTTCATGTAATTGAGAAGTTGTTAAGGTTTTATTCGCAATTCCTACATATTAATTTCCTTGATTCAATTCAAAACAAAAGCTAAAAGATGTAACCATGCATCTCTCAATTGGTGACCACGATCTCGATCATCTTGAAACATTCATGATCGGTGACTAGGATCGATGATCATCGATCTGTCCCTCTGCTACCTAGTACGTGCTGTTACTGTATCTAAATTTATGGCTCTCACTATTGATCTATTCCATCCATACCTTGAACCCTAAGTGCTGTCAGTTGGGGGTTGCAAAGCTTGCGACGACCCCTACAGTAATTAATTGGGGAATTAATTAAGCTGGGGAGAAAGCAGCACAGGACAATGAATGCTGCTACTATTTGGCATTTCATTTTCAATTAATCAATCAAGCCGTGTCCAGTTGAACATTGAGCTATACTGCTAGCTATGCAAAAACAGTGGGCCCTGGCTGCAGGTCCATTTTGTTGTGTGGCTTGTATGGTTTGACTGGTGAATATATACAGCTTAGGAATTTACAAAACTGTACTTCTGGCAGATAATTATTTGTCAGAGAAAGTAGATATGTGCATGTGAGCTGTTCAAGATATATAAAAAATGAATTTTCTCACATGTATATATGTAGGTGATGATTGATTAATTAGCTGAAGTTTGAACTGTGGCTTATACCAATTTTGAATTGTTGAACTTAATTTAGGTTTTCTATATATTCATTCTTAACTTTTGGATAGTAAGAAATTAATTCTAAAAGTATTAATTACCCTAAAAAATTACTCCATCCATTCTTAAATAAAGCATTTCTTTATACTCCCTCATTCCATTTATATATGACATTGGTTAGTAAAAATTTAAACTAACCAAAGTTTCATATAAATGGAAGAAGGGAGTATGTTCTTTAACAAAGATTAAGGATAAGGAAAAAAATATTTCATCTCAATCACTTCATTTGCCAAATATTGAATGGCTATGATAATTCCATCGTAAGCATATGATTGTCGCTTAAAATGCTTAGTTTCCTGTGGATTGTAATCGGTGTCATAGAAACACGGAGGGGTTATGTGCTATTTTCTTTATCTATACTCCTTAATTAGTGGTGGTGGTAAATGGTGAATCTACCATTATTTGTACTACCAACTCGATACATTTTTGGGGATAAAGAATAATGTGGGGTCTAGTATAAGGGCTTACACGTCAATCAACCTTATCACCAACTCTTTATTTTTTTCTTTAAGAAGGAAAAAGGATTGTGGGGGCTAGTGGGCCCAGAGAGATCACATTTAAGTAACAAATATATATATATATATAAACTAAAAGATAATATTTATACAAATTAATGGTACTGACGGGTTAATGATATTTTTTTAATAAAATCCTGTTACATATGGTTGTAATTGTACAGGTAATATTATATATATATATATATATATATATATATATATATATATATATATATATATATATATATATATATATATATATAAATGGTAGCATATGTAATACCTTCAAAGAATCATGTCTACTATCTTTACATTAAATGTAATTCTTTATATTTTAACTTTATGCTAACCGTACATATTGTCGTCACTACATATATACGCAACCATGCATGCAGGACGTACAAGGAAATGAAGAAGATATATAATAGTCGTACTAGCTGTTTACATACATCTGAAAAATATTACTCTATAATCCATTTCAAAATATTAGGACACAACTATTTTTTTTCTATGTTTTATAATACAAGACGTGCATATATGCATATACATATAGTTAACTAGCTTCCCTCGTTTAAATTGGTTTGTTTAAATCCTCCACCCTTATCTCTAACTTTATTAGGTGTGTACATAATTTATTTATTAGGGTGATCCAAATAAAAAGGTGATAATAATTATTTCTTGGTATCAGTTGCGTCTTTATATTTTAGAACGAACGAAAGTATATATATTCTCACCATTTAGATTATTAAAAGTGACATCGTTCGATTCGTCCTACAAATAATGTCAAGCTCCATTTTCTGGAGGCCGTACGTGAAATTAATCCAACCCACATCTTATAAAAATCAAACGATATCCACAATACCCCTTCGTCATCGTCGTCCCCAGCTAGCTATATCCCCTGCAGCATCACATCATCTGCAAAATTCTTCATGCACCCTAGCTACTACCTTAGCTCGCATTGATCCATCCATCCATCCATCCATGGAGGACTACGCCCAAACCAACCTGATCTCGAGAGGCCATGGCCATCATCATCAACCCGAGCTCATGAAGGAATTCCCTTTCCTCAGCCTCATTTCATCTACCTCTTCTTGCATCAGCAGCAGTGGTCAGCAGCAGCAGCAGCAGCAAGATGATGATGGCCATGGCGGCCATGATCGTCATCAGCTGCTCCGGTACGGTTGCTGCAGCTGCAACAAACAGCAGGAGGAAGAGGAGGAGGAGGTCACGGTTGCCTTGCGCATAGGCCTACCGGCCGTCTCGTCGGCGTCGGCGTCGCCGTCGCCGGCGATGGCGAACCATGGGGCTAGTGCTTCTAGTACAGGAGTTGCTGGAGATGATGGCGGCGGCGGCGCCATGGCCGGCGTGGGTGTGGAGGTGGAGAGCGTGCGGAGGAGCGGCGGCGGTGGCGGCGGCGGGCAGTACTGGATCCCGACGGCGGCGCAGATCCTCGCCGGCGCCACCCAGTTCTCCTGCCCCGTCTGCCGCAAGACCTTCAACAGATACAACAACCTCCAGGTATTTATACGTGCAAAAAACACATATATACTTAAATAATGGAGTATATGACAAGTGTGTTTTAAATTCCTACTCCGATCCCCATTTGATCTATATGGTCATAAAAAGATATACCAATAAATTTCTAGCAATTGAGCATATTTATGAGTTATGATCAGCTATCTTATGAAACTCCCAACAATCGATGAAGTTTATCATTAGTCATTATAATGTGTCTTAGTGAATGTGCATGCTCTTGCTTACGTCGTGGTGTGTTTGTGTAATTAATGCTTGTCATAGTGGAGAGTGAATTTTAAACTCGAGAGACGTCCCCTCGTTGCACTTAAATAGTTATAAAAAAATAAGATGATATATTAACATGTGATATATCACTTCATAAATATGTAACTTAAAATTTAACTTGTACGTGTAAAAAAAAATTAACTGAGAATATATGTTAACTAGCTATAATTTAATTTGATTTTTTGTATGACATGTAGAAATTGAATTTTAAGCTACATTTTTGTAGAGTGATATGTCACACATTAATATATATTCTCAATTCTTGTTAATTTTTATATAACTATTTAAGTGATATACAAACAACGAGAGAATATCTCACATAGTGTGTGTGGTGGTGTGCGTATCTTGCATGTAATTAATCGAAAAATAAAGGTTGATTTCGTGTATCTATTGATCATTCAATTGATGGACGCAACCTATAGAGAAAAAAAAAACAAATGCATGCAATTAAGAGAAGATGAACAATGGGCAGCTGGCTGAAAATTAAGAATGAAAAATTGCGTTGCGTGGTGAGTGCAGATGCACATGTGGGGGCACGGGTCGCAGTACCGGCGAGGCGGGACGGCGGCGCTGCGCGGGGCGCAGCCGACGGCGATGCTCCGGCTGCCGTGCTACTGCTGCGCGGCGGGGTGCCGCAACCACATCGACCACCCGCGGGCGCGGCCGCTCAAGGACTTCCGCACCCTGCAGACGCACTACCGCCGCCGCCACGGCGCCCGCGACTTCGCCTGCCGCCGCTGCGCCAAGCGCTTCGCCGTCCGCGGCGACTGGCGCACCCACGAGAAGAACTGCGGCCGCCTCTGGCGCTGCGCCTGCGGCGCCCACTTCCGACACAAGCGCTCCCTCAACGACCACGCACGGGCCTTCGGCGCCGCCCACGCCCACGCCGGCGCCGGCGCCGGCGCCGAAGACGACGGCCGCGCCGCCGCCGCCGCCGCCGGTGTGCTGCGATGACCTTAATTTATATATATGTGAGTGCGAAATTAATTAGCTGATTATTGGTTAGTTTCAGGTTATTTTTTTAGTAGAAAATTAATTTGTTTGTGATCGATCATATATATATGTGGAGGACTCTCTTAATTGTTTTTTTGTTTGGTTTGATTTGATTTGATGTGTATTGCATGCAATTTGCAGTTTGGGTGTGAGATCTTAATTATATTAATTAAACACTATATATATACAGTGTGCTTATGGTAAATGCATGGGTTTTGAACTGAGGTTAGATTTATTAATTCGAACTATGTTTGACATTGCTATGACTATAGTGATTATTGCATATTGTGAAATAATTCAAACTTAGCTAATTAAAGTTGAGATGCTTTTTTTGAAGTTTTAGATCCACAAGAAATAATAGCATTGCGAAATTTTATTTAGCTTATGGTAGACATCGGTAGCTAGTCGTGCAAACTTTGGAATATTGGTTGTAAGTAAACGCCGGAATTAATCAATGAATTCCATTACCTCGAATTTGCTTCTCTGTAACAATTCGTTCCATTTGTTATGGCTTGTATATATTCAATAGTACTTAATAACTCGCAAGACACTTGTTAAATAAAATAACAACACTAGCTGGTTCTTGGTTTTGCATAATTTCTAGAAAATTACTGAGGAGATGTGAAAAAGGGACTTGTAGAATGTACCGTTATCACGATTCATGTCTAACAAAATAATCCACTAGGCCATAAAACATTTTTTAATCGAACACAACAACCAAGCTTACCAGCGAGGGACGTCAATGGTAGGAACATAAAAATCCAAATTTTTTTAATAAGAAAATATCCTAAAACCCGAAGAAGTTGCTCCGGTCAAACTGCCCGTTGAGCGTCGTTCTGACCACCTGATACTGTTGGTTTGACCGACGGTATGCCACCGGTGACCAGTCTAACCGCCTCCCTATCGTCTGCCTGATCTCCTATTGTTGTTTCCTCTTGACTTGATGCCATTGGTCCAACCACCAAGATGCCTTCGGTCACACCGTCGTGGTCTGACTGTCGTTCCTCTACTGGCCTGACCATCATAATAGAGAGAACATAAATCAGAAAAATTCTTTGAATGTAGATCAACTTTATTGCTTCTAATTGTGTTTATAAAGTGCAACAAAAACGCTCCTCTCTCAACTTTCGACTAAACTCAAATCTAGGTTAAACCCTAACTTTTCTCATGACAATTCTCTATTTATATCCTGAGATGACTGCACAAAAGCCACAAATCCAACATGAGTAAGTAGTCCTAATCCATTCGGAAACTCACCTGTACAAGTATCCAACTCAATATCCTTTACAAATTTAAACTTCAAACTTTTCAAACTTGGACTCCATTCAAAATTAACTATGCTTTCCATATGCATACAACACCTCTTGTATGACATACAAAATCTTCATCACCACATGCATTGTCCTCTAGGATTAGTACCCCACAAGATCTCCTGATCATCTAGACAAAACTTCTCTCAAGTTGACTCCCTATCCATCATCGGCAATACTCTCCTGAGATCTCAAGACACACTTACATATGAATAAATAAGAAACCATATTCAAGCATTAGTTCTTTTCCAACTTGACTCAATATTATCACACAACAGTATATATAACATACGTATAGAAATCATCTGGAAGCCATAAGCAAGAAGCAATCATTGTTAATCAAAAAATCAACTCCAAACCAACTCCAAACAGGAGCTAGTCAATCAAACCGTCTGGTTGGCCGGTTTGACCGCCACCATGCCTACAGTTTGACCGGTGCCTACTGTCTGGTCCCATACAGAGACAAAATCACTTCGCCAATAAATCACCATATATCAAAACCAATACAAATAAAATCTCATGTCAATTGTTCATCACAATAACAATCAAAACATTGATTTTACCGTTTTGGATGTGTAAGGCACACTAGAACTTTTAAAATTTTGAATGTCAATATCTTTTTTAATATTTAGATCGGGTGTATGAAAAACAAACATATCAAATACATATTTTTCTCACAGTATCAAATTTTTGTCGGGTTTTACGGATATACTAAAAATACTCCAAATCGTTAGGCCTGTCCAAAGCAACATATTTTCTTGACTAGAGCATATGCATCTTATAAGAACTAGACGAGAAATGTTATTGTTATATATAGTTTTGTTAGGTCTCAGTTGCTTGAAATTTTCTTATTTTCCAATAATCTTAATTCGCATAGCATATATAAGTTTGCTGGAACTTTAAGCTAGCTTGCTTTATGTTATACTACATTGTTATGGGTTAATCTAGATGTGTTTCTTTAATATATATTCTTCTCTGTTTTTTTCCTTTTTTGATTTCAAGTTAAAAGAGCATCTAATAAACATGTGAATTGTTGGATATTGATGTTGTGGTTGATATATATCATGATAGATAAAAAGTGGTCATTCGACGAGTGGTGAGTTAAAGCAAAAAAAAAAAAACCTAGGATTTAACTCTAACCTGTGCATCTGGTTATCCCTGGGCAATCTAACCCTGGTTAACAAAAAAAAAAGTTAGTACAGTTGGTTTTAAATTCTTACACGACATGATACATGGGTTGCACAGTAATGTGGTTGCTGTTGATGCAGTTGTGTGATTGTTCGTGTCGGCGGTTCAACAGGTCTGAGAAAATTGCTGCTGATCAAGGGAAATCTTTTTGTGTGGCCCTAGAGTGAAAAATGACATTTATTATCTTCGTAATCAATAAGATGCCGCCGAATTTTGTAAATTTATTTTTAGAAAAGTATGGAAATGTAACAGCATGGAGAAATACTTATATTAGTTTAATACTTTCAAACTACTCCCTCTATCCCAAAATATAGCTACTTCTGATAGTACATATTTTAGACTAGTCAAAAGTTAAAACTAAAACAATCAGGATTATGATATATTACCATCAAGGTTTCTGGAACTATATAATTCACTCATGTCTGGCCAAAGGTTCAAACCAAAGACAGTTCTTGACAGTGAAAACGAAGCATTTTTATTTTTATTTTTCTCACAGTGCCTTCAACCAATGTACACTGGTCAAGTTAAAGGACTGATCTGATCAGTCTGCTAGTTCAAGTTGTGTCCTATTCCTCCCCAACAAGCGGAGGTTACATTCTGATTCTGGGTGGTGTTTTGCCACCCATCCCAGACTGTTCATCTTCACTGTAAAATGGTCAAATACAATGACCAGCTGTGATAGCATACACATGGCCAACGCGCGAATCTAAGTCACAAATCCTTGTTTCCGTTTGATAAATGGCGAACCATATATCCCCACATCCCTGCCTGGCAGTGCTCAGAAAGTTAACATCTCTCCTAAGTTCTCCGCTTCAGTTCAGAGGATAGTGTGACAAGCTTGTATGGATAGTCATGTGCTACAAGCTCACTTCCTTTGGCAGGCTGATCTCCAAGAAATACAAGCTGACAATGCAAAAACCAGAGATTAGTTGTGTAAGAATAGCATATGTACCGCTCCAAGGCAATGTGACGGTATGCTGCGGTATAAGATTGACTAGCTGTTCAGTGTCAAGGTCAATAAGTTAATCAGTCTATTCATTTGATATATTTTAATTTTGATGATGAGTTTATGACAATGATGTTTTAGCAATTCAGCACTTGCGAGCATTAAGTTACTTATATTCCAGGGTAGAAGTGCATCAAAAAATATAAAGGAAAATCTTTACTGAATGCAAATCCACATTAGTCACAATGGATGATCTGAAACATATTAGGAGTACTTTATTTGAAACATCAACAAACCTTGCAGACATGAAGGCCATGCCAACAAAGACTGCTTTGACAGCCTGTTTTTGACCAGCATAGTCAAATGCTAGAGGTAACATTTCATGCAAAGTGAGGAAGGCCATAACCCCACCAACTGCAGAAAGGCACATGGGAGGTCAACAAAATGCAGAATACTGATACCAGTTTTTCTTTTTATTAACAGACTGACCTGAACCAAGTAGGCCTTCAAGAACTTCAGGATTTAAGCTGCTCGGAAACAAGTAAGCTGAAGCAATCACATTTGCATCAGCCTTCAGCACTCAATGGATATACACCAGAAGAAAAATATTACAGAGAAGTGCATATGACATAGCATACCAACAATGATCACTCCTAGTGGCTCAGCGAAACCAGAGAGGGTTGCAACTTTAAATGCTTGCCATTTGCTTTGACATGTGAAAAAAGGAACAAGATATAATTACTGTGGTAGAAGAAAGTGTTACAAAATTACAAGAGAACTATCAGAAACATGCTATTATTGCAAATTGAAAAGGTTAAGCATCATTTGCCTTTTCGCTAAAGCAAAACCATTAGAAATTATTAATGCTCTGTAATCCTCCAAGTGCAACAGGTGGAATGTAGTACTAGCAGATAAGAGTGGTTCGCCAATGACTAGTTCTCAAATCTTACACACCTATCCTCAATTCATGACTTCAACTAGTACACTCTTTTTTTACCAGTAACTAGTACACTCTTTTTTTACCAGTAACTAGTACACTCTTTTGTCTATAGAAAATCTCAAAGCCATAACATATATTCTTTAATGAACTCATTTCTGAAGGCTACTGTGAACCATATAACTTAATTCAGTTCCTCTCTACATGGGTAAAATAGGTACCTGTTGGTAGCAAAATAGAGTGGTAGAGCTACAGCAACCCCCTGAGAAGGTGAAAAAAAAAACAACTAATTAGGGCTTCAGATAAATACTACAGTAAATGAACCAAGTTCTGTAGAAGTTAAAAGAAGTTGTCCAAGACTCTATCCTGCCACACTCAACAATGATTCAGATACAGCTACATTGACTTGTTGAGATCTAGAAAATGTCATAAATGTTGCAGCTTAAGGGCATATATAATTAACCAAACTTGAGATTTTTTTTTCCTTGTCATGATTTAGTTTGCCATAACGTTGGCGATTCATATTAAACTGATAAATGAAATACCAGATATTTTCTAAGAGGCAAACTTTAGATGGCATTCAAATCTTTCTGCAAGCACATACAACAAGCTAGGGTATCCTAATTAGCAATATGCAACATCAAACTGTAGTTAAGAATTCTCATGGACCAGAAATGCTGATAAGTTGATTTATCTACCTCTGGTATATTGTGTAAAGCAATAGCAATAGCCAAGTTCAGTCCCACACGAAGGCCCTGCAGTTTTTCATCATAACAAAACACATTCAGGGCAAGCTAACAAATATCCAACATGATATCTATTGGGACACAGAATGATATTAAATACAACTAGCAACTAGGCCAAGCCAACTACTCAAATACAGTAACTATTGGAACACCAAAACTATGTTATATAGTGTTATAGACCAGAGCTAGTAAAGGCTTTGAAAGGTGGTTGGTCCCAAGTAACTTCTATTAGATGAAAAAAATGCAAGTTACAGATCCCTTCAACAGATGAATGATGCCACTATATTGGAATGATGAATATACAAAAGCAATACCTTCATGGATCCCAAAAATACTGCCATCCCCTCCGGAAAGTTATGCAAGCTGATTCCTGCAGGCTCATAATAAGTATCAAATCAGATTGTTGTAGTATCTCAAGGAACAAGGAAGCAAAGCCACACAACATATATCAAGAAACAGTTTGAATAATGGCCTGGTGTAAGTTCAATAGGAATGCATGTCTGGTTGTATGCTTAGTGATACAGAAGTCTTATTTTCTTACCAACAGCAGTAATGATCCCACTGAATAATACTTGCCGACGATGTTTTTTCATCATATCTTTACCCGAACCATCATCGTCAGTCTGCTTTCCTCAAACCAAACATAGAGAACTAAATTCTGTTCAGCCTTGGTATTTGAAAACAGACTAATATGATTGTGAAAACATTATTAAGGCTGCTTATTTCAACCTGCTTCTTGCCTGCATCAGCTGTTGGCACAACAGTTGGCTCTGGAATAAACTTGACAACCAAACCAAAGAAAAGAACTCCAGCAAAAAACTGCAAAATATTATTATTAGTTAACAATGGTTGCTGCTTATTGTATGAGATAGATCGGCATTACATTGGCATGGATACTATAAGTATAGGCAAAGCATGACTGACCCAAAGGTTGCCCTTCAAGAAACCAATAGAATTCAATGCATTGTGTGCCAAATCTAGAAAGGAAATGCTCAACATAAGTCCAGCGGCAAAACCCTGTATTCAGTAACAGCAAGAGATCAATCTACCAAGAACCAATAGCAAAACCAGAACTTGCTTAAAAGATAGTGAAGTTGCTCCATTACTATAGAGAACAAAGCTTATCACCTGTAGAAGCCCAAGCATCTTAAGATTAGGCGTCGGATTCAAAATCACAAACAGCGCACCTGAAAAACAGAAAATTGGAGCTTCTAAAGTGGGAAAATGGCACAAAGAAGCCTTGCTGGAAACCCTCCACATAGTATTAGGGACAGTTTTAAAAGAGAGTACTCATCGCTCAATGTCCTGAGATCATTCACGGTCGCAAATTGTTAACCAAACATAAGGAAGTACAATGTTGAACCCTAGGGGTTAAAAGTTTTTGACCATGCAACGACATTTATTACTTATCCTGTTATACATAGTACACATAAGAGAAAACCACACCCTGCCACTAAACCTGTCCAGTTATGCCACTTATTTACAAATTACAACACCCCATTGCTGACCTTAAAACAAAAAAATCTGATGAATCATTGTGATCAATTAATTTTCATATTCAGAGGCCTAAATAGCAAAACATTCATCACTCACAAGCCAAAATGGTACAAAAGGGAGATACTCACTGGATTCTGAACTCTCTTTCTTAACAAAAATCCTAAACACTAATTTTCGATTTGCTAATAAAGGATGCATCTGAATTCGCATGGAAGTCACCTATACGAGCGGTAGCAAGACAGAATTCGCTATCGACACCTGAAACTCACCAGAAACACAGAAATTCCCAGGAACGCGAGATTGCGAGATGCTCAGCCACTTGGCGATTCCTTCAAGCAGCGAGCCCGCAAGCTACACAAAACGGCCTTAAATCCACCCGCGGAACCCTAGGAAACCGCGCCCGACCGCAGGCAGAGCAGCATCCAAACCCCCGAAACGAAACTGTTGAGAGGGGAAGAGGCGCGAGGGGGCGGGGCCATACCGATGGACGTGCTGAGGCCGCCGACGAGCGAGAGGGCGAGCGCCACCAGCACCTGCGACTCCATTGGCGGCGAGAGAGAGCTAGGGCTTGCAGGGTATCGAGGCGGGGGGAGGCGGGGAGGAGAGGAGAGGAGAGGGAGATGGGGGAAGGGAAGCTTTTGCTGCGGCGGCGTCTCACGGCGTGCGTACGTCAGCAGTTTGATGAGAGAGAGAGTACGGCGTCTTTTGCTAATCACATGCTTATGTGCTTTGGGTTTGGGTTAGTCAATAGATAGGGGAATTTTGTCTTGGTAATTTTTTTTTTCTTCTGTTCTTTTTTTTGTTGTCTTTGTCAGGGCATATTGGCAACTTGTGTTCTTGGAATTTTGTATTTTTTAAAAAAATATATATATCGCGAATTTGATATCGTGGATCGTGCAGATTCGACGGTCGAGATCTAACTGGATGAGCAGATATAGCAGGTCGAATTTAGATTTGGTTGAGATGAAGTTAAGCCACCAAAAACAAAAGAAAAAGTCATTACCATGTGATTGATTAGTTGAGTTTTAATATTCTAAATCAACTTCTATATGTTACGTCCGTCCCATAATATAAGCGATTCTGGAGGAATATATTTTCTAGTATTACGAATCTGAACCGTCTCTTAGTCTAGATTCGTAGTATTATGAAGTGTCACATCTCTTTATGATTTTAGTAATGTGACGCGGATAACATGATGTAGATTTTTTAAGGAGAAACAATGTACTATACTCCATTCGAACTGGTAATACTTATCATTTTGAAGCAGAGTAAAGTCAAACCTTCAAATCTTTGACTATAAATAATTTATAAAATATTTATCTTAGAAATATGAAAACTATATGTATATATTAGTTTTAAAAATGTACTTCAATAAAATTATATATTTGTGATATTTCTATATATATTATAATAGAAAATAGTGGTCAAATATGTTTCTTAGACTATATTTTTAAAACGACAAATATTATCAACTCGGAGGGAGTAGTAATATCAATATTATTTATCAGTTTCATAAAAGCTAACTGAAACAATGTAGTTGGGCTAATACAATAGCCAGCCACATGAATCATGCCATCCACCCACCTACTCCTGCGTCCATTCTATAAGCTTGAGCGGCAGATGGTTCTCCATGCCACAAAACGACTTGTGTTAAAGATGTTTACCGTTTTCGATAAATCTATAACGATCTGAATGTATTTTAAACAAAAAAAACAATTAAAAAGGAACAAATCAATTCATATGCTATATTTAAATTGCCATAAAATAACGGTTACAAGCTTACAAGTGTGGATTTGAGCAGGTACAACGTCAGAAAACAAATTAAGCAACATGATATATATATATATATATATATATATATATATATATATATATATATATATATATATATATATATATATATATATATATATATATATATTCAACCACAATTCACAAACACGTAGATTTAAAATATAAACCAAAAACAATCAAATTAGCCAACGAATTAGATCATATATTTTTAAAAAAAAACACAAATAAACCAGCCGCGCCGCCTTCTCCCACGTGAGACACCCTCTCTCTCACTCTCTCTCTCCTCGTCATCAATGCAGGCAGTAGGCGAGGAAGGAGAGCACGACGGCGGCGGCGGCGGCGGGCGCGGCCGCGACGGCGGTGGCGCCGCTGGCGGACCCGGGGCCCGGCGCGGACGCCGGGGACTCGGAGGCCTCGACCGCGGAGGCGGACGCCGCCACGGCGAGCAGCACGGCGCAGGCGATCTTCTTCATCTCCATCCCGGGCGGCGGCGGCGAAGTGCTGGGCTCTGCGGGGTGGGGGAGGAGACGGGTGATGTTGTCGATCGACGGCTTCTCGGGCTGCAGGCGCGCGGTGGTGGCGTTGAGCTGCGAGGCGAGGCGAGGCGCGCGGGGGATTTTAATGGCGGGGCGAGCGGCCATGAGCGAAGCTCGGGGTGGAGCTTCGCCAAAAATGGGGGTGGTGATTAGTGGGTTTGCCAAGATAGGGGTGGTGGTGATTAGTGGAGGTGATTGCTCGATGAAGTTCTAATCTAATGGCGTTTGCCAAATTTCAATCGAATTTTGCTGTTTAAACCCTAAAATTTTCAAATACCATTCGAACCCCCCCCCCCCCCCTTCTCAAAAATATGATTTCTAGCCTATCTCGAAATCACAGAAAATTTCGCAAAAACCAACCAGTTTTTATCAAGATTGTTCATGCGAATTTTATTCGAGCTTCCCAAACCATTCAGTTTTATGAATAGTTCCGTTTGAAATTTCATCAGAATTTAGTGAAAATAGTGCTGTGCCTCACAATTCAACCCCAAAACGAGATTGCAAACCCGCCTCTCGTCCCTGTTGATGATGCATTCTTGTTTATATCGTTTACAGGCGTAAAAACTCAAGACAGCTACTGGATTAACTTATACAGAAACTAGATCACAAGTTCACATCCAGGAAACATTTAAGATTTTGATTATACACATATGCAGTGATGCTAAAGATCGGCCCCAGTTTCAGCAAAAGAGCAGGAAGTTCAGATTCCAGCCTGAACTTGCACCACAACAGAAGCAGCCAATCTCACATAGATACTAGGGATCAGAATATCAGACAATCTGATCTGTCAAAGATAGGCCTGGTTAACAAACTCGATGAAACAGAATTGCACAAGCCACAAGGGAGGCTGCAAGGCGAATCATTTGCGGTTCTTGGAACGCTTTTTCTCGAGCCTCTGACGAGCTTGCTCAAACTCCTCTTCCGTGGGCTCCGAGCTGCTGCTCCCCTTTGGGTCACATTTGGACATGATGGATGAGAGCACCGAGTCGAACCGGTCCTTCCGCTGCGCCCTGCGCTGTGAGATCGCGAGGATCAGATCGTTCTCCTCGCTCTTCTTCTTGTTCTTCCTGTGACGAGGTTTGAGGCAAATGCAGTAGTGAGCAACTGATGGTAGACAACATCTCGGAAGGCGGATTACTTGGGAGATAAGAGAATGAGAGCTTACTTCACTCTTCTCTCTAATGGGTTTGTGGGAGGTTCAATCTCGGAGATCTTCTTGGCCCATTTATCATATGCTTTTGTTGACTTCAGCTCACCTACAAAAGGGAAGGAAATGGAAAGGAGTTTAACCATTAGAGAAGTTTCAGGGAATAGATTGAGTTAGCATGATAAGCTAAACACTTTGCCAGCGCTTCATTGTAGAAAAGGAATAGAAAAAGGTATTCAATATTATATGATAAAATTATATGGCAACAGCATATAATCATTTACCTTCAGCAATTGCCTCATCAATTATATCTTTAAAGCGATGGGAATCAAGCTTTGGATCTGAGCAAATCATTGAACAAAAAAGCCTGCATACAAGGGCACCAAATTAAAATAGAAATGGAACCCAATTATTCACTTGCAATTCATTGCCTTCTGTATAGAAAATTAATCAACACTAAATTTTGTAAGCCACCTGTTCATGTTGCCTTTAAATTTTGTATATAGATCCTTCAAGTCCTTTTTTTCAGAATCTGACCCTCTGTACTTAGCTTCAAATTCTTCAATATCAGCCTCAGTAACCTGCAGAAGTGTAGGTCATCACCGATCATTGTATAGGTGAACAGATAGCACAAGTTTTTTTGTTGATATGGACCAAAAAGATACCTTTTTGTAAACAGCTCTGAAGTACTCTTGAAGATTGTCTGCAGCTTCTCCAACCAGTGCCTACAGGAAAAGACAAAACTTCAGAAAATCTACTGGGAGTGAAAGGTTGGAAATCACACTACTTGGAATCAGGTGCTCACATCATCATCAGCAATTCCAGTCTCATCATATAATGCCCTTTTCTCCTCATCCCCAAGAATAGATATCACCTTCTGAAGCTGCTGAAATTTCTCCTTGGCTTCCTGACATCACATAACAGCTCAATTGAGACAAATGGCACTTAATCCATGGAAAAAATTTGGAAACAAGATCCTACCTCATCTCCAGGATTCTTGTCTGGATGAAGACGTAAGGCCAACTTGTGATAAGCCTTCTTTATTTCCTGCTGTGAAGCTGTCCTCTCAACCCCTAAGATCTTCAGAATGAAGAAAGGAAACATCAAATGAGTTACTTGTGTTATAAAGAAAGACAAAACTGAAGCATAACAATTGTTTCTGATTGCATATGTACTTTAGGTTCCTTTCTACAGCTTCGCTTAAAAATAAATAATTTAGGCCGATTCCACTGAGCTAGCTGCACCTGCACCACAGACAACTGCTGCAGGAAGCCAGCAATGCCCTTTGCTAGGGGTCACTGCTAGGGAGGTAGCAGCACAATAAGTCTCATTGGTTGCCCATATTCTCTAATAAGCCATATAAAAATTAATTTATAGGTAAAACTTTTATATATTTGTTCATAGCAACTTAAAATCCAACACTAAAAGAAACTACATTGAAAATATCTTAAAATCAAGTTCGAAAATTCAAATTTTGGCTTTTGCTTTGGCTTATTAGGCCAACCGATGGGGCTCTTAAGTTGCAGGCTTGCAGCTAGCTCAGCCTATAGGAGCCACTGTTTCTGGTTGCAATCTTATGATTTGTGGCCTTTTTAAAGTCAATTACATGAATTTCCATGAACTCTTTCAGCTCTTCTTTGGCACTTCATTAAGCTTAGGTTTCAGCAACATTTCCTTCAGTCTAGAATTTTTTTAAAACGCGCTAAACAGTCTAGTAGTGTGCGCCAATTAATTACAATTTTTCAGCACAGATCAAGACAAAAAAAAAATACTGATGTCTGAACAGCTGGGACATATATAAGGTTTATTGAATTAAGTTATGCAAGTAAGGTAATGCTATTGTACTTGCTTTTAAAACTAATAGTGGTATAGCTTGAGATCAACCGCCAATCACAACCTCTTGTACCTCTTGGCTCTTGCACACTTTACCCAGTCATTGGTGTTTTCTGATTGATCAGATGATATGAGAAACCCTTTTTATTTGACAATATAAATTTTTAACGAGACAAGCTAGCAAGGATTGAACTATGTCCTCAATGTATGTGCATAGTAGAGAGTTAGAGGCCCTATCACACCCAGCCACGTAACTGTTTGATTGTTTGACATTTACTCCAGATTCCAGAACATGATAAAAATTAGATTTAAACATCAGTTGACCTTCATAAATTCTGTGGCAGTAATACTTAAGAGGAACAGGTATAGCTCAAAGGCAAGAATGCCATACCATCAAAGAGCAATTGGCAGGAAGGCCAGCAAGATTTAAAGAAGATTAAGTCACTATAAAATCCTTGGAGAGGTACTACTACTGCGAAGCCCAAAACTAGAGCTGAAAGTTAAGGCCAAACCAATAAGCACTCTCCCATATCAGTCATAAGGCTTCACAAGTGAAATGTGAGCCTTCAAGCAACTGCCTCCATGTTTGGGATACAAAATGTTTTTCCTATTGCATAAGTACGCACTTCGTACTTTGGGTTCATCAGTAGCATAATCTTGCCCAATTGTTTTTGCACATTGAAATGGTACACACAGTTGCTTCAATTCGAGGTAATCTGGTATGCAAATATGGGTTATACTTGTACACTAGTACTAACACACGATCAATCCGCGCAGCGAACCACGAAATTCCCCAACGGGCGGAACCTGACGCGACACCGGATAAACAAGAAAACGAAAGCTATCCCGCTATCGCATCGAACAATCAGATGCGCTCCTCACCCTCGAATCCCGGAAAAAAAAGAAAAAGAACAAAAAAACATCGATCCAGGCATCCAGCACACGATTCGATCAGACCAACACCACCCCGCCGCAAAATCAACCGCTACCCGTACGGGTAACACCTCGTAAGCCATAGACCTAGGGTTTGGAGTTGGGGATTTACCTCGTAGAGGCTCTTGCTCTCTGCGGCGACCGGCGCGGGCTCCTCCTCCTCCTCGCCGTCGCCGTCGCGGGAAACCCTAGCCCTCCTCTTGCGGCCCATCTGGTGGAAGCGGCGGGGTGAAGAGGACTAGTAGTGTAGAGGAGAAGGCGGCTGCGGCGGCGAGATCTTTATAGGTGGAGATGGCGCGGGTGCGGGGAAATTTTTCCCGCGCTTTTTGGTTCGCGCCGGGATTTGGCGTTGGCGGCGTCTCGTCGAATGAACCACCCGCCATGGGGATGGAGGGTTCGATGGAAAATGCTTGTACACCGGAGGTGAGAGATCACTTCACGGTGCAGTTGTAAAGAGCGTGTGGTTTCCATTTTAAAATCTCGTGTTTAATTTTTGACATGTTTATCAATTCATTTTACAAAAAAAAGTTTAGAGGGGTATCTCTCCCTTCAAATCTCGTTTTTATACAATGGATGTGTAGTAGAGAGGAGAGATCAGCCACACGAGCATACATAATTTTGCAAAATTCCTTTAGCATGTGTGCTGGGTAGAATCGGTACAATTTGGGTAGATAGAATTTGTCTTTAAAACTAGGGCTCGAATAAATGTCTAAGTTTATTTAGGGCACATACATAGTTAAAAGAAATATATGCGATGTGGCATAAGATTGGCTAGAGATCTCCAACACCATCATATATGTTACAAGAAAGCTTGGTACGGTTCGACCGGGTAGTATATCAAATGTTACATACTAAACCGAGTTTTGTCCTAAAGAAAATGATAATTATAACGGATGAGTAATGAGTTAGAGCTCCTCCACAGTAGACGAAGATGGGAAATAACATGAGGAATTTGGTTAAGACAGTACTCCCTCCATCCCATAATATAAGGGATTTTGATATTTTGTGTGCACTGTTCAACCACTCGTCTTATTTAAAAAAAATTGTGCAAATATAAAAACGAAAAGTTATACTTAAAATACTTTGGATAATAAAGTAAGTCACAAATAAAATAAATAATAATTCTAAATTTTTTTAAATAAGACGAATGGTCAAACAGTACAGGCAAAAAGTTAAAATCCTTATATTAGGGACGGAGGGAGTACAATGTTGTAGGAATCTTCTTTTTCTCTACGTATTAAAGCTTGTTAGTTAGGTTTTATCAACAACTCAAACAATACCTTATAAATAGTTTACTTATGAAATTTAGACCTAAGAGATCAATATCATCTGCTCAATTGAGATCCCCTGCAGAGCATGTGCGGTACTTCAGGCTGACATGTGGGCCCGAGGGCTGTGGGCCCACATGTCAGCCTGCAGTACTGCAGACGACTTGTGTCCATCATCTGCTCTATACTCTATGCTATTTAAACAAAATATGTAGAGCTAGGTAACAATTATCTGCGCACTGGGGCGGAAAACAAACATGGAGCAACTAGGGTTGAAACCCTATACCTAGCTCCGTAATCCTTATTATATTTTTAAAAAAATGCTATATAATTTGTGAAAAAAATAGCTCTTATTTGTTTAGGCTGAAATCGCTCCGTAATTCTTATTATATTTTTTAAAAAAATGCTATATTATTCGTGAAAAAATAGCTCTTCATTAGTTTAGCCCTATGCGTGAAAATTTTCGAGCTCTGATACCGTTTACACATTCTTCTTTGCAAAATAGAATGGAATAAATGGTGCATATTTCAGGTTCTATATATGCAAGGATCATAAAATTTATCAGATACTCTCATACATGTAATTGTCCATTTGCTGCTTCTCACAGGAGTATGCTGAAATGACTCATACCAACATATATTAGTTCACCCGGGTATCTAACGTTTTGATGAATACTACTCTCTCCGTCCCATAATATAAGGGATTTTGAGTTTTTGCTTGTAGTGTTTGACCACTCGTCTTATTCAAATAATTTATGCAAATATAAAAAACGAAAAGTTATGTGTAAAGTATTTTGGATAATAAAGTAAGTCACAAAAAAGTAAATAATGATTCCAATTTTTTTTAATAAGACGAGTGGTCAAACCGTATAAGTAAAAACTCAAAATCACTTATATTATGGGACGGAGGGAGTACAATACAAGATCTTACAAGCGTTGGTTAAGAAAAAGACAAGGAGAAAGTACATATGCTGACATGTGAGTCTCTTTCCATGTGTCAGTGGCTCAATTACACAACAGTTAAGTCAGATGATCCCTTTTCATTGGAGAAAATTGACATTTAGCCATCGTCAGGATGGGGTTTCGCCAGAATGCCACTCCGGATTGTGGCTTCGTTATAATGCCATTTTCGAACGACGCCACATTGCTACTTTGCCATTTCGACCAAATTAGCTGATTTGCAAATGATTTCCACCGTGGTGTGACAAAATTGCCCCTGTGACCATTTAGTTGACTTGCGTGGAGGAGATGGATCCCTGCCCTGGCACCGGCGCGGCTGGGGACGGATCGACGCCTCCCTCCTCGCCGACAACCCAAACTCCAAGCTCACTGTCACCTACTTCTCCCCGCTCGCCTCCGTCTCCCTCGCCCCGTCCTCCCCCATCGCTTCTCCCCGCTCGCCTCCGTCTCCCTCGCCCCGTCCTCCCCCATCGCCGTCGCCACGCTCCCGCCCTTCGCGCAGCCGCCGCGGAACATCACCACGCTCGCCTTCCGCCTCGAGGTGGATGGCGCATACGTGGGTCCCGACGACGCCGCGCCGCTCAAGGGCGGGGGCGTTGGTACCATGGAGGTCCAGGTCAGGCTCGCCGCCGTCGCCGTCTTCGATCGCGGTGGCTGGCGCACGCGCCGGAGGTTGGGGGCAGCCTTCCCCACCCACGCCGGCGTCGTCCCCTTCCCCGTCCCCGTCCCCAGCTTAGCTGGCGTCGTCCCCGTCCACAGCCACGCCATCGAGCCGTGCTGTGTATATGCAACGGAGAGGAAGAAGAGAGAGATGAGATAGGATAAAGGGTATTTTAGTCATCTCAGCAAGAAAAAACACTACAAAAATCATTAAATTGAGAAGAAATGGATAAAATGGCATTACAACATGTTGCCCCTGTTTGAGGATGGCATTTTAACGAAACCACTTTTGGGAGTGGCATTCTGGCGAAACCCCATCCTGACGATGGCTAAATGTCAATTTTCTCTTTTCATTGAGCACCTATATTACTAAGTGCATGTATGCTATGCCAAATGTTTATACCTAGCATACCTAATTAGCTGGTACGAAATCAACGACTTAATCCAAACCCTTATGATTGAACTAAATCCTAAAAATGTATTCTTACCCCTATATCAATACTACCAATCATCCATAGTTAAAAGCAAGTTGGTCTGACCATATTCTTTATTTTTATTGTTTTGTACATGATAAGGTATATACATGACGCAATAAGGTAGAGTGCTATGTCACAATAGGTCGTCTCTTGCTTACCATGAGAATAGGTTTATGGTCCTCTAGTTTTTCATCTACTCCACATGTGGCTCTCTTCTTCTTTTTATTTGGCTCCGCTTATAAATTTTATTGTTCTTAATACATAGGTGCGCAACTCTTTTGTGTATTAAAAAAAATAATTTTCATGAACACAAGAGTGTCAAGCAGGCAAAAATTGTTTTATATCTAGGACAACCTATATGTTTCATTTATAAGGCAATATGATTTTATAGGGAATGGTTATGAACATGTTGTTCTTTTCATCTACAAAAGTTAGCAACAATTTATACGATTATCATATGAACACGTTATCTTTTTATTTTATACCGGTTCATATTATTTCACAGTATTACTGCAATAGAAAAAAACTAAATTCCAGCACTATAATAAGAAAGGATTTAATAATTAAACACAAGTATCACACCAACAATAAAGAGAAGGAAAAGGGACACGCTCTCCCTCTCCTCCATCTTCTTCCCCAGCAAGAAAGAAAAAGCCCCTACTTTTTATAACCCCACATCTCCCAGGGACCCAACCGCAAAACCCCACACCCTCCCTCCGATTCCCATCCGTCCAACCACGATCCAACGGCCCACAACCCCACCACGTGGCGTAAATACACGTCGAGGCGAGGGGCAAACCGGTAATTTCCCCGTCGCCATCGGGGGCTTTCTTTTTTATCAGTGTCTCTCTCTCCCCCCACCCCCACCTTCCCCTGAAGAGAGAGAGTGAGAGAGAGAGAGAGAGAGAGAGAGGAGACGCCACCACGCGCACCGAGCTCGCGATTCCAATCCCCGCACGCCTCCTCCGCCACCGCCGCCTCGGCCTCCGCCGCCGCCGCGACCAGGGTTAGGGTTTGCCCTCTTGCTCCCCCTGCCTGATTCCACCCCCCCCCTTGAGTTTGTGGGTGACCCGTTTGATCTGTGGGCTTCTTTTTCTTTTTTTTGTTTTTTTCTTGGGGTCGATTCGATTCGATCGATCGATCCGCGTGGTGCTGGTGTTGGGGAGGGGGGATCGGTTTTGGGTTGGTGCGGGGATCTGATGTGGGGGGTCGTTGTTTGATTTGGTATTTGATGTGGTTGGTTATTGGTTATTGGGCTCGAGGGGAAAGCGTTTATGTTTGATTTTTTTTTTCGGTTGTGTATTAGGCTATGTGATCTTTCAGGTTGAAATGATTAGATTCGCGTGAGTTTCCTGATCTTTTTTTGGGGTTGATTTGTTGTAGAACCGTGGGCGATTAATCATTACTCGGGGTAAATGTGAGTGGGTAAAACGTGTTACAGCAGATTTACGGTGTTTGAATTTGATTTCGTCGAAATGGATAGGCGCGTTTGGTTGATAAGATGAGGAATCCACTTTTGTGATGGCGATTTCGTTGCGCCTCATAGAAATTAGGATCTTGTTTCATAAAGTGTAAGCTCGCCGCAGTGGGTTATAGGTTATTTTAAAAGTCACAATTATATGGAAATTTCGATAGGAAAATTGTAGCAACTAGGTGCTTCTTGGATTATCTTACCGCCCGATTTAATTGGACACTAGTTGATTTATCCGTATGTTAAATTTTAAATTTGTTTCTTATACGCATTTCGGTATTGAGTTTTGCATTGTTTGTTTGATGAACAGATCACAGTTGCGATGGAACACAAGGAGGCTGGCTGCCAGCAGCCCGAGGGCCCAATCCTTTGCATCAATAACTGCGGCTTCTTTGGCAGCGCGGCGACCATGAACATGTGCTCCAAGTGCCACAAGGAGATGATCATGAAGGAGGAGCAGGCCAAGCTTGCTGCCTCCTCCATCGATAGCATTGTCAATGGTTGTGACGGTGGGAAGGAGCATATTGTTGCTGCCAGTGGTAGCACGGCGGTGGCGGTGGCTCAGGTCGAGGCGAAGACGCTC